GCTGCTTCGTGTTGAGCCCTTTAGCTGCTTCGTGTTGAGCCCTTTAGCTGCTTGGTGTTGAATATGGACAAAGACACAAGTTGTTGTGTAAAGACTTGGATGGAGTGAGTTCAACAGTCTGAAGGAATCAGACGAGTCGTTTCATGTCAAACGGAACAAACGACTCTTTTGCCACATGAGCTCCAGAACCCTCTCGTCATGGCTCGGCCCCAACTGGAGCTTTCCCACAATCCTTTGAGAGACAATGACCTGGTGCGAAGGTGGCTCATCCTGCAGAGCTAAATATAGTCTGCATCCAACACTTCATGTATCTGGGTCGTTTGGGGGGGGGGGTGCTGTTCAACAACTGAATTTATATTTTACCACTTCAAGAGGTTTATAGTTGCTTAAAGACATTTATTCAATTTAAAACGACGTTCTGGTGAGATCTGCTCCTTGTGAACGACCCCAGAGCTCGCACATGTAGGCCTCTGACTTTAAAGGGATAGTTCAGTCATTTTTAAATAAGGTGATCTCCATTTGGAGACTCAACCCTAAAAGTGAAGTGGGGCTTCTAAACAGTATCTTACCTGTTGTAGATGGCTCTTTAAACACCTAGCCACAGAAGGAGCTTGATTCTGATCAGATGGACGGGCTAATGGCAGTCTGAGTAGGGTGGAGACGAAGTGGCTCGCTGCTGTTCTGAAACGCCCGTCTGCCACCACACGGTCGTAGTTTCCACTTTATCCCCTCAAAATAAACTACGATGGCAGCAAGATGCCTTTTTTTTCCATTTCATTCAACCTTTTATTTAAACGGATAAATCACATTGAGCCTAAAAGACTCCTTTACAAGCGAGACCTGTTTGGACAGATGAAAAAAGTGGTAAAATGGACACATGTAGGAGTTGGAGGCAAAAATATTCCTCAAACTTTTTCTTTTTTTTTTTTTTTCCCCGCCTGAGACAAAACCCAATATTAAAAAAACACCTCGCACAAACACGGTGACGAGACATTCTGCAGAGTGGGGAGCCGAGGGCGGTGAGCATGTTCATAGATGCTCTCGAGGTCACTGCAAGTGTTCTGATGAGGATAATCAGTCGGTGTCCTCCGGTGAGATCATAAACATTCTAGAGGGATGTCGGGGGAATGGCCAAGAATAACAGCGATGAGAATCCAAGAGTCCTGAAATGAGACAAAATTTATTCAGCTGGTTTCATCTGGTTATCAGTTGGAAATTCCTCAGGGAGGGGGTGGTGAGCGTCAGATCACATGTTCTCCAGGTGAATTCAGATAAGATGGCCTTCAAGACCAGCCAAGGGAGCCAAATTCAGAAACGGTTGTTTTGGGGACAGGCAAGTCAAGTCACATTTAAAACAGTAACTGTTATCAAAGTGCTTACCAAAAAGATCACGGCATCAAATATTAACAAGATATTACAGCAACGTGAATAAAAGCATAAAAACATGAAAAATAATGAAATACTAAATCAAATCACCCTGCTTTAACTGTCAAAGTAAAAGCAAAATTAACACAATCATAAACGACAAAATGCCAAATGAGATCACACTGTGTTAAATGTCAATGAGTACAGATGTGTTTTGAGGAGAGATTTAAAAATAGAGCCTGAGGTGGCCTGTCGAATGTTGATGGGCAGATTGTTACATAGTTTAGGGCCCATGACTGAAAACACCCGATCTCCTGAGCTTCAGCCTGGTTTTTGGTACGGCCAAAAGCAGCTGGTATGATGATCTCAAGGCCCGAGAAGAAGTATAAGGATGAAGGAGGTCGGAGAGGTATGAGGGTTCAAGGCCAGTAACACACTTAAATATCAGCCGAAGAATCTTAAAATCAACTCTGACATGCACAGGAAGCCAGTGAAGAGAGGACAGAACTGGAGTAATGTGCTCAAACCTGTGAGTTCCTGTTAGTAGCCAAGCTGGAGACGTGGGAGAGAGACCTGACTGACCCCAGCATAAAGCCAGTTACAGTAGTCCAGCCAGGACAGGCAGAACTTAATGAAATTACCTTGAGTCTGTGTCGGTCCACTCGGTTCAGAAATGTCCAAAGTACATGGCCACACCGATGAACGTGACTGAGTAAAATCCCCAAGGTCTGATCCATTCGGCCCAAAGCGCTCGAGTTCGGGTACTCGAGACACGAACCAAACCATCATAAAGGCAGGCAGCGTGATCGGGTCCAAATTTGCTGCCGACGACTTCCTTGATCGATTGATAAAACCAGCACCAGCTGAATCCAAAAAGCAGGAACCAGTTATCGAAAGTCCAATTAAATATGCGTCCTTAAAATCCACAGATGGCAGCAGAGATGGACACCTCAAGTCTTCCAAGTCCATGAGATGTCCAGCTGTGTGCGTGCCAGCAGGGCAAATCGACTCTCCTAAAGCCTGTCTTCTATTGAAGAAATGTTGTAAATTGAGTTGAGGGACCAACTGATCAAAACAAATCTATAATTATGGTTCAGAGGATATATCGCAAGAGGCTCACGAGCAGTTTCACAGACAGAGCAGCAAAGCAGAGAGAGAGGGAGGGGAGACGCATCCGATCTCAGCAAGAGCAAGTGGTGACTCATTGGGTTTTAACTGGGTTTTAATTGGGATTATGTGGAGTGGTGGTGTAGAGGTTAGAGAAGCTGTGCCTGATCGGCTGGTTTGACTCCCCGGACTGACGTCAAAATGTAGGTGGAAAAGGTGAAGCATCCACACCTGCCTCCACCCTAATCTGCCCCACTCTGGGCCCTTGAGCAAGGCTCTTAATCCCAATCTGCTCCCAAACAGGTCTCTCTTGAAAGAGTCCTTGTGACTCAATGGGACTAATCTGCATAAATAAAAATTCTTTAGTTTGTTAAAACATGAATAAAGTTTAACATTTTGAGTTTTTTGTGTTGAGCAGGAGATTTTACGTTTCAGGTTTTGATTCTCAGAAGTGGAACTGGTTGAACTTTAAAATCTCACTGAACAAAAGTTAATTTTATATTTCTTAAATTATTTGAATCTACAAGTACTTCATGTATTTTAACCATTAGTTCTCACAGGAACTCTAAATTTCAGGTTTTATTGGAATTTTTCTTCTCCTGGTGTTAAATGTGATTTTTCCTGTTTCAGTGAAAAAGACGTGCGCAGACGTGGACTTTGTGTGTCACAGTGGACAGTGTGTCCCCAAGAGATGGCACTGTGACGGGGAACCAGACTGCGAGGACGGGTCTGACGAGAGCCTAGAAATCTGCCGTGAGTCCAGTTTCCTTCTTGCTGTGGATGTGGTGCTGGTTTCCTCTGGTGCTGCTCGTCACTTCGGACCGGGTCAGAGCGCCGCTGGTCCTGTTCTGTAGAAAAGCGCTCAAGAACCTGTTTTTTTTTTTGTTTTGGTTTTTTTTCTCTGACCTTCCAGTTCAGAACTCAGGTTATTAACTGAACTATGACTAATGTGATCTTGTTCATTCTGGTATCACTGGTTTTCATCCTGTGGGGTGAGGATGTGGCGTGTTGGGACTGGTTGTGCCAACGGTGGAAAGATAATTTAGAAGTAAACACCCGTTTCATTCCAAGAGGAGCGCAGCCTCCATGTCCTTGAAAATGTGACTTGGTCCTGCTGTCACTTGGTCATTTCCTCCTCAGAGGTCAAAGGTCAGACGTTTTTCTGCAACATGTTAGAAACTCTAAGCTGCAGCTCTTTAATGTTTAGACTTGAGTGTGTGAAGGTCGTCGGCTCCTGTTCAGTTTCAGTCCTGGTGTCAGTCCAGTCAGCTGCTTCAGCTGTTTGCTCAGCTGTTGTCCTGGACTCAGGAACAGGAAGTTTCTAAAGTGAAATAAGGAACTCTGCCAAGATTTGGGTCTAACCAGGTTGTCAGGTCCTCTGGACGAGTTCTTCTTGTTGAAACGTTTCGTCATTTATCCAAAAGACTTCAGTCTGAGGAGCTGCAACAAACTCAGTCTTATAAATAGCACCTTCACATACTGGATCTTCACATACTGGATCAACCAGTTTGTTGTTGACATCCAGAACTAGCTGTTCACATAATCAAGGACCATCAGTCTAACGAGCATTAGCACACTGATGGCTGTTTACTATTCACAGAGGGCTGAGTGATACTAGCAATCACAGCATTGTAAGAGGGGGACAGTTGAACCTGGAGGCCTCCACCCCTGTTTAACGATGGACGATTTCTTTTCACAAAGATGGCCTCCTTTACTCCTCTCTCAAACCATCGTTCCTCTCTGTCCAGGATGTGAACATCTTCATCCCTGAAAGAGTGACCTCTGACCTGGAGATGAGTGTAGACCTCAGAGTCCTGGTCTGATGATGTTGATCTTCTGTGCTGGTCCATCCTTTTGGCCAGTGGCTGTTTTGTTTCCCCGATGTAAGACTGATCACAACCCTCCTGACACTGAACAACATGCACAATATTACTCTGTTTGTACCGGGGGACTGGATCTTTGGGATGAACCAGTCTTTAATGTATTAAGGTTTAAAAGCCACTGGGACGACGTTTAGAAAATGTCTGCTTCTCTGAAACTCCTGCAACATGTGGAATGACCAGATCCTGGTTCCTCCTTTTCCACCTGTTGGCTGACTGGAGTCCTGTTTGGGTTTCTTCTCTGCTCTCAGGAAGGCCCAGTTAGGATATCCACATTGCTCTAGACCAGGGGTGCCCAAAGTGAGGTCCGGGGGCCAAAGTTGGCCCGCCAAACTTTCCTCATTACAATATTAAAATTTCCTTTTGAAGTGTCAATGTGTTTACACTCAATCATTCTGATTTTAGTTAATGTTAAATGGAAAGTCAGTCCAATGACTACCTTAATGACACTTTACAGCTGGACTACTTTGTGCATTAATATATTTAATTTTACTAATTTATATTTTATTTTGACAGACTTCCTACAGACCTCCTGCCACTGAAACATTTTCCTTTGGTCCTGCACTAATGCACTTATAAATCACACAAAGTGTTTAAAAATAGCCTAAATTATAAATATGAACTGACTTCAGTAGTGATTTGAGCTTTTTTTTTTTTTTTTTTTTTTTTTTTTTTTTTTTTTTTTTTTTTTTTGTTTTTTT